CCCCCCCCCCCCCCCCCCCCCCCGGAAGATGTCCAACTCTCACCCTTGACATAATTCAGTTCAGCATAACAACCATACTGATTACTTTTTTTCAATCTTGAATATGAGGGGTGGTGTTGAGTACGGTGGTGGTTTCTCCTAGGTTGCATTTTCTAGAAACCATACATATAACAAAAATAGGGGGAAATATCAATCTGTAGCCACTCAGATGTTGGGCACATAAAATAAATGTGTAATACTGAAGAAAAAAAAAAACCCAAAACCTCCCCGCTACACCCTGAAAGCTTTCTAAATTAGCAATTAGATTTTTAAAGAGAAAAATCACCCATTTTCCCTCTTTCCCAGAGCTTCCTACATTAAGAAGGTCACTCAGAAATTGTGATGGAGCAATATTCTGTCAAATATTAAACATACTTTTAAATCAAACAGTTTTGAGGAGGTGGTTAAGATTTAATGAAGCCTGATAGAGCCCTGCTTGCTAGGAAGGTTTCAAAAGTGGTTTGCAAAACAGCCTCTATCAGAACTATACCCAGCTTCCTGCCATGCCATACAGCCATTCAGCTAAGAGCCTCAGCCAACCGTTTGCTAGGCTCATGTGGAGCTGAGACCCTGGATATAAGAGTTTTTGAAGTCTATTTATAATACAAAGTCATTTGAGCTAGGCAGAGAAATTATTTAAAAAAAAAAAGTCTTGTTATATAATACAGGTGCAATTGCAGACAGAATTGTAATTCTGTTTTTAAATAACTTGAATTTTAGGGTGAGAGATAGGAAGCTGTTCCAAACAGGCTTGAAAGCCAGATTTCAAATCTCTGAAATTTTCCATGTACCAGCCACCACATAGTTCTAATCTGTTCTAGCTTCTCACACTTCTAACATATGAACTTTATAAGAAGGCCAAAACTGCTTTTTTTTTTTTTTTAGAAATGAAGTTCTTTTGACAAAAGACAGACAACACATTAAGGCAAAAACCATGAACATTTGGTAACCAAAGAGCATCCTCATACTGCAGTTATTTTTTTCTTTTGACTCTCATGAACTGCTTAACCACACTCAGTTAAAGCTATAACCACACAGGATGTTGCTGGCCGGCTTTTGTTTAAGGCTATGTGCATATAAAAAATGTGCAGCATCAGTGATTTACTGAAGCTTGGAGGAAATTGGCTGTTTTTCTTTATATATATATATATATATATATATATATATTCAAGAATGAGAGAAAGAAAAAGCCTGTATTAATTAAAAAACAGAATAAAAAAACGACAATTCCACTAGACTATGTTAGAGAAAGAGAGAAAAAGAGAAGAGAGATTCAGAAAACTCACTAAGACTCCATTGTTTAGATGGATAAAGACGGTAAATACCTTGCCTACATGCAACATAGTTACTGTTCACATGCACATACTTTCTCTCTCTCACCTAGGCTCCGTAAGTTCTGACAGGCAAGGCTATTTACCATATGTTATATTTCAAGCTAAAAATAGGTATGTTATTAAATGTACCACAATCCATATGGTATTAGATCACTTTGTAATACACTGATTATTATTACCTGCAGAAGCTAATCAGAGTTACTATAGGCATCTCTGTTCATTGCAGTGTTAGCTTAAAGCAAACTTGTGTTGTTCCTAACCCTGTTCCAAAATATTCCAGCTTTAGTTAAGTAGAGCTTTAGGCTCAAGCCCTCTGGACCATCAAGGACATGGGGTAAAGCTTGAGTGCTGCTAGAAAAGTGATGAGATGGAGGTACTATAAATACACTGTGCAACTTTAGTAGCATTTTGCAGCATTACCAAAGCAATTAGTCCAAAAAGATTGAAAAGAATACCTGGAATATCTTCCAGAACAGATGCTTCACTTAAGTGTAGCAAAATAGTAAGATCTATCAACTGCTAATAATGAGAACATAAGGAGATAGGAAACTGGGGTCAATAAGAAGCTCTTGTTTCCTTCCCAGTGCCATAACACAAACTAGCTTAGTACACTATTAGCTGGATGGAGGACAGTTCCAATAAAAACTAGACTTATGCAACAATTTTTTTTTTTTTTTTTAAAGAAATTCCATCATGTTCAGCTGCTCATGCAATGTCTGGACAGAATTCAAAGGCACCCGTTAAAAAGCACTGTAATGGGGTTTACAGGATCTTACTCCATCTTCTCTAATTTCTGCAGTTTCTCCTTGAGTCAGGGGGGCCAGAAGAACCAAATGGATCGTTAAAAAAAAAAGCAGCACAAATGGAATTGTAGATCTATGAAGACATGCTAAGGATTGGTAGTTAGACCCAAACAATGTCACATCCTAACCATCAGAAGTGAAAATACCATTTAATGAACAAACACCAAAAAAAGTCACTGTAAGTACCAGTCTTTTCCAAATTCATTATGGTACAATAAGTGTAGCACAACTTGCACCTTATTTCTAAACTGAATCTGGATAAGACCAAAATCATGTTTAAAAAAAAATTGAGGCACTTACCTTTTCGTTAGTGTAATAAGAAATAGTGTCTCCATCAAACTTAACCCAGCGCTTCTGAAACATACGTTTTCTGTGAATTAAAAAAATTGTACACATTTTGCATTACAGGAAACAAGTGACTATACATTATTACTTGATGTTCAAGTTACAATTACAAAAAAAGAGGAAGCATGTCCAAGAGTCTCTTTTGGGGACAAATAAAATATGAAGCAAGCTCTGTTATAATTACACTTTTAAAAACACATTTGATTTCAAATATAAGAAAAAGAAGATTGAACAACTGGAACTGTAGCTGCAATGTTAGTGGATTTCTTTTATGAAGCAGTGTATTTTGTATTTTTCACACCCCAAGCTATTTTCATTTCTGCCTCTTAAATTATAGACCAAATAGTAAGTTATAAAAGAACTTTCAGTATTTTAAATTTTACATCTTACTAAACAATGGATTATTGTAATAAGACCATGTCGCCCCTGCCTTCCGCTCCTCCTCAGCAGGCCTGGCTAAGGGTCTGGTACCAGGCCAAGGGGCTCTCCCTCGCTCCCCCGCCAACTGACCCAGGCAGGCCCCAGCCTGAAAGCAAATACCATGGCCCTGGCTCGCTCCCAGCTCACTCTTGCCTGCAGGGAGTGGGGTGGGAAGCCTCCACAGGCTTCCCCCACCCTACACCAGGCAGACCTCAGTTGAAGTCCCCACCTCCTCCCCCTCCCCAGGTGGCCTGGGCATGTTCCTGGCTCCCAGCTAGGACCGTGGGGGTGAGCCTTTGACAGCTTCCCTCTCTGCACCCCCACAACCAGGCAGACCCTTGCTGGGGGTCCAGTGCTGGGTCAGTGGGGTGGGTTCTCTTACAACCCTCTCAGCTGGCCCAAAAGCTGAGGAGGGGTGTGGCTAAGGGAATCATTCCCAGCTCCAGGCAGGAACAGGGAATTCAGCCCCTGCTTTGGGCTTTCCCCCTCCTCCCTTCTACATATGGGGCAGCAACCAGCTGGGGGTGCAGTGCAGGACCAGTACAGTCCAGTGCATTCTCTCTCCCCGACCCTAAAGTCTAATACTAAGTCTGGTAACAAAGCAGGGGGGGAATCCCTTCTCTGCACCAGGGGCAGGGAACCCTCTCTAAGACTGAGGGAACCAGCTCCTAGCTGGAAGGATGGTTCCACCCGGGGGGGGGAGGGGAAACACACCAAGGGTTTGGTGCAGGTTATGTGCTGGGCCGCCATTTAGAGATGAGCCCTGTTTGGCTGCATTCAGGTGCCTTCAGCAGTAAAAGGCAGGCTGGGAGGCAGGGTGGATAGATTAATGGGAAAAAATGGATTTTTATTTAAATCAGTTTTTTGACTAGTCATTTTTTAATCTTTTTGTTAAGATGCTTTTTTAAACAAAATAAACTTATATAAAGATGGTTTTAATTTAAGTTATGTTCAAGCTCAAAGATATCATCATGGAATAGGGATCCTAATTTCTAACTATGTACTATTTGAAACAATATATTCATGTAACCTTTTTAAATTTTTTATGGCCATAGACTATATTAGGGGCCCAATCTTATCAGGTTCCCAGACATTCCTCTAGATTAGTAAAGATTAGAGAAAACCACTCTATGCAATGGGACTCAGTGCTCAGTCTAAAAGATCCCATTAAGCATCTCTGCGATGCTTAGTTTCAGTTCTCAAACTGTAGATTTGCATCTCCAGAGATCACAGACAGAAACAGTTCTTTGGATAGATGTGATATCTTTTATTAGACCAACTAAATAGTTGGAAAAATTGTTCTTTGCAAACTTTCCTGACATATACTCTTCTTCAGGAATAGGAAGTTTCTTTTCTCCAGAGATAACATCCCTGTTAGCAGCAGCATATGGAGATGAGAGATAACAAACCCAGTTACCCACCCATCATTCCTATTTTCTCTCTGCAAGTTTGTGTACACAAAGTCAAGCTCTTACCTCTCTCTAAAAGTGCAAAGTTTCTAGAAATTAAATAAATAAAGGGCATCAAACAACAAGAATGCACTTTTTGTAGAAAACAATGATTAAATTGAGGCTTCCTGACTAGAGATTTAAATCACGATTTAAATTAAATTGATTTAAATCAAATTCACCCTTTTGGGAGGCACTCTCTATTGCCCCCACAGCTACTGGCATGGGCCACTGCAGGGACCTGGCTCTCTTTCTGATTTTAAAAGTGAATGATTGTTCACTTGCTTATCAGTTCAATCTACTCAGTTTAAAGAACCCTGCAAAGACTGAATCAATTCAGCCTGGGGCTTTCTGACTGTCTGTACTTAGTCATAAAATTTGCCAAAGCCATGTAAGTCCCTGACAGACATTATGCTTAATATGTGATTAACCAGTTAAATCATGTCTTAAGTAGTGACCTGGCTACATGTTCACTTAATTAATGGTGTGATAAAATAAGGAATAAGCCACAAAGTCATTACACAATCCCAAAATTATGCTTCCTGCCATGCACTTGTGGTACAACTGCTGGGACTGCACATCAGATCCCATCATGCCTTTATTTTAACATCTGCCAGGAGCCATAGTCTGATTGGTCTCTGTGCATCTTCACTCTTCAAAACAAAGATGATAAACTGCCAGTGTTAATTAAAAACATCTAGTTCAGTGCTGCTCAATCTCTGGCCCACACGCCAGATCCAACTCACAGAGCAGTGTCATCTAACACAGGTGTTCCAAAGTAGTCCAGAAATTTGGTAGCACTTAACACTGCCACAAGTCCCCCACCTCCAAATTTTCAGAAAACATGGCACTACTGATCTAGTTCTTTGGAAGTCATTTCTTGGAGACTGTAGAAAACAAAAGTTGTGCACAACTCCTGACAATCTGAAATTTATGACAAGTTCCCATTTTAAAGCTTGAAATACTAAAATACCTTCCTGCCTTGAGGGCAATAGGATTTTTGTCAATAACTTCAGTGGAGTCAGACATTCACCACAGATGTTTCCCAACCATGTAACCATTTCAACCTTGTACAAGAAAAGTAGGAAACTGGCATTTATAGGATAACAGTAAAAAGTACATTGAAACAGAAGCATTTCTCTAAACTCTTCCAGCAAATGTAGGATGTTATTTTCAAGACAGATCTTATAAACAGAAACCCAGTTTTTGTTTTAAATATAACTTCATAAGCTCACCACACACACTAATACCTCCTAACATTACTCAAATAAACCTAATGGTTCATAGTTCTATTAGGACACAGAATTTTCCTTCATAAACACTAAAACCACAGCTTTCAAAAAACATCCTGTTCTATATTCAGTTTCTCATACAAATATGGTATCATGCAAAGAAAGCTAAAAACATATGTTTAGTCTGAAAAACGTGGGTTTCAGGTGTCAAATGCTAAATAAAAACAGTGAACACAAAAGGAATTCAAAAAGGACATCACAGAAAATAATACCTAGGCTAGGGAAAGATATTCAAAAAACCTGAGCCTGAATTGATTCAATCTTTGCAGTTTAAGCTAATCTGGCTAGCCTAAACTGGTTTATAACTGCCCAGACACCCCCTCTGGACTGAAGAAATGCAGGCACAGGCCTGCAGTGGCTCAGGCTAGAAGTGGAGGGGCCCGGGGGGGGGCATGCACTAGAGCAGCCCTCCCTTCCCTTCCATAGTACTGAGCTGAGGGGTGGTGTGGTCAGGCTCTGGCAGGACACTCCAACTGGGGAGTGGTCTGTCTCTGCTGCCCCTCACTGTTGATCACAGAGCATTGAGTTACACAGGGAAAGTTTAGCATTTGTCAGCCCATCAAACAAAACAACAGCCTCTCTCATTAGTTCAAGCTCTTCTTAAACAACTTTTTCCAAGAAAGGAATAGAAGAACATTACCAGATACCTGTTGATTAGGTCCAAAAAGCCCTAAGCCAACACCGTCCTATCTCCCACAGCACAGACCGTAGCCAGCATGTGGTATGCTAATGAATGCTAAGAGATGTCTGTGTAAGGCAGAAGGGAGGGGAAAATCCCTGCTTGAGTAGGAAGTGCGGTGGGGGGGGAGCAGGAGGAAGCCACGCAGAAACCACTATACCTGCAGCCTCTGCCAGAGCTGCAGCCAGAGAGCAGAGGGGAGGAGCCAGCCTTGCTAGGCTGGAGCAGAGCCCCACCCAGAGCTGCAAAGCATCTAGGATGCTGGAGGACTCTGATTTAACTTAAACCAGGAAGGGGTCTATGACAGACACTGCATATACCGATTTAACCCAAATCAGTTAAGTCTAATACTACATTCAACCAGGCTTACTGCAAAACAGTTTCAGCCACTTCCAGTCTGGTTTAATGTACACTGAATATCTGTTCTGTTATAGGTTTAAACCAGTTTTTGATAATTTAAAATGGTTTATGTGTAATGTCTGTCCCTAGCCCTAGAGAAGTAATGGATGAGAACTTTTCAAAAGGTTCCTAAGTCAGGACAGTCTCAGATACTAGATGATCCCAAATATTATAATCAGAGCCATGTAAATTATTTGCACATTTTTCCCTTCTGCCTCTCCAGCTGCTTTATGCAGAAACCTGCATTCATAAAAGTGAGAATGTTCCTCAAGCTCCTGTAAATCCCAAATTAATCAGCTGCTTTGCCCCTTTCTATGTACCCATGAAGTGTAAGGAAAATAATCTAGGAGTCAGCAAATACAAAAGTCTGAGCAAAGACTGTTCCTTGTGAGGAAAAGCTAAGGTTAAGAGTAGGCCATGTTCTTCATGCTTGGGGAACTCTGTAACACAAACATCAAAAGATTTAGAAATCTATAAAACTAGACATTAGGGTACAAGAAGCCATTTCCTGCTAAATTAGTTTATGTGCTCTCATTTTCTTGTTTTTAAAATGAGCTTCATAAAACTGGAAATAGTTAATATAGTTTATTTGATTATCTGTTTGTTTTTAATTCATTTGTGTCAAGACCTCCTGAAAAGATGACTTTACATGAACCTGAAAAAGTCCATTGTGTTCATTAAAAATGTTGACAGGCCATTAGTTATCGGCTGTATGAGTTTCAATTCTAAAATCCATTAAACAGTTAATTAAGCAAAAACAAGACCCCTCTCTAACATCTCTTTTTCCTTCCATTAATTCCTTTCCTGTTAAATGAGTGTTCTGCTTTAAGATTAGTAGACTGTGATAGTTTATCAAAACTTTAATTAAATAATAGCAGTTCTGGTTTAATTAACTCGTATTATATGACAACAATAAATCATAATTGTTCCCAACCTGAAAAGGCCAACGTAAAACTAGTTTCCATTAAAATGACAATAAATCCTACAAGTGCTGTTTCAAAATACTATAAAGAAAAAAAAGTGAACTTGGTTTCATAATCCATGTCAATTGACGTTATATTTTATAGTAAATTAACTGGAACAAGAACCCGTACTCTCTTTTAAATACATGATTTACAACTATCTAAAATAACATGATGAACACCTTGCTGGTTAGATGAACACCTTGCTGGTTAGATGAACACCTTGCTGGGGTCGTTTAACCCCAGTACTCTTTCCTGCCATGGCAGGGGGTCGGACTAAATGATCTTCTCAGGTCCCTTCCGAGCCTAGAAACTATGAAACGTTTCCCTAGCACCAGCACCCTGTAACATCATGGTCTGAAAGGTTGGCATGTGCATCTCTGAGGAAATGCATAAGACCACCAAGCCACAGGATCCCAGAAGATGGAAATCTTACAATTGCATGGCTTTATACCACCCGTGCCACGGCAATGAAACAAATATTCACCTGCAGTGAGGAGACTCGGTTTTCATAAGTCTGGGAAATGTCTAATTGTAAGAAAAATGTTCATTAATTGACAAAACAACTAAGGGTTTTGTTTGGACTTTAGGTAAAGAATAAAACAAGGTTCATTGGTAAGTGAATTTCAATTAAACTATTTTATGAGACTCTGCTAAATATAAATGTTATGGCTCATTCCAACTCCTACACAATACTGCAAACCTTTGAAAAATATTGTCCTCACCTCTCATAAATTTAACCTCAAAGGTTATAAATTTAGCCAGCCAGTTTGTAGAAGCTAAGACTAGGAAATTCTGCAGTTAACCAAAAGTTGTACTTGAACCACAGTAAAATAATTGTGTAAGGAGACTAAGACACAAGGGAGAATGCAGAGATATGGCTACATACTGGTGATGGCATTTCATCTGGCTTTAGAGACATGAGCTGTGTTTCAAAACCTTTCCAAAGTCTGTCCGTAGTCAACTTTGCAGCAAACAAATACCAGTAAGGCTGGAGAGTCAAAGGCAGCCAGACATGGAATTCACCACATCTTCTTAATGTGCCATTAGCTGTAGAAGCTGGCATGCCTAAACCAAGCTAATTCAATAGAGTCATTCAAGCAAATCATAACTTATTTTTGATAGAGGGGAATGCATATCAAACCTGATCAACAGTTATGGAAAGGCTCAGGTGGGATGCAAATCAGTAAAGAATCAGATGATAAAAGAGTAGTAATTGGTATTTGTTATGAAAATACAGGTCAACTCTTATAAAACTGATACCATTTACTGGGAAGTTTACAAATCTGATTGCCATGAAGGATTAAGTTTAAATATATTATTCCAATATTGCTGTATTGTTCTATTTTTAAAAGAACAGCATTATCATAAAAATAGTAGTCTATGTTTACAAGTTTAAGTGAATTAGAACTAGTTTAACAAATAGATCTAAAAAATAACTGTATATGGGGAACTGTATATATGTCACCTAAAGGAGGACGTTTTTAATGGGGTCCCAAGTGAATCAGTTATCAGCACATCATTTGTTAGTTATATAATTTCTACAATGCCTATTAAAAAACAGCTTTCCTGGAAAATATGTTGATAATTATGATAATAAAGATGGTAATTAAGATGGAGATGGCCTGCATTAATCATTTAATCAGATTACTTGGTAATGCGAGTTAATCTTAATATATTTTGTTATGGTAGGACAAAGAATACCAAACATGCTTATAAAGCTGTACCTTGGAATACTAGGGCACTGGAAGAACTTGGGAATACACTATATAACCAATGTAACTTGAGCTCCCAGTGCCGCATTTCATCTCAGGGGAAAAAAGAAAACAATTTTCATGAGAGAACAGGGAAATATTCCATTAGTGCTGGGCATAATGCCACCTACCAGTGCATACTTGACATCCCCCCAACAGCCTTAACAGAATACTGGGAAGCTACCATATTTATTTGCATACCACATGCACCTTCCAAAAAGAACTGCATACAGCATGCACCTCCCAAAAAGAATCAGTGTTATTTAACTCGGGTACATATGTTAAGCAGAGAAGCTGATTTTCCAAGCCAGTACTAAAGCATGCAATGGTTTTCCAGGGAATTGTAATGTTTACTGGAAAGGCAGGTGCAGAGTGCAAACTTTAAATCTTCCCACAGTCAAAACTGTTGTCAATTCAACAGAAGGTAGGAGAAAATTAAAACTATAGCTTTTGCCTGAGCAGTGCTAGTCAAGATTTAGCCATTCACTGTCCAACCATGTGGCCAGAATTCTGCCATGATTTTAGAACAATCTTTTTCTCTTCGTTCTGCTTTCCCAATACAAGGTCCATGTCTTATGTGAAGTGGAGGAGGGCAGGTAGTACACAAGGATATGCAGTATGCGTTGTTCTGGTGTCTGTTTTACAAAAAGATGTCAAAACCAGAAAAAGGTCAGGAAAGGAGACAAGAATGGTTGAAGAGCTGGAAAATATGTCTTAGAGTGACAAACTAAAAGCTCAAGCTATTTTGATAAGAGGAGGTTTAAAAGCAATCATGGTATAGAAGTCTCTACATGAGAAAGAGCCAATGTAGAATGGTGTTTAATAAAGGCAGACATGAAAGCCAGTGATTAAATCCAAAACGTAATCCATCTCTGACAATAAAAACAAACAAACCACATGTTTAAAAAAAGTGAAGATAATTAACTATCAAAACAATTTACTTAGGTATGTATTAATATCTTCATCACTTTGCCGTTTTTAAATTAAAACTTTTTGCTTGCCTTAGAGGATGTGTTGCAGCTCAAAGATGATATAGGGTCAATGTAGCAGGGGAAAAGACTTTGACCTTAATTTTGCAGTTCTTTCTTCCTGTTATCTATGAACTGGATCATTTTAACTGTATAGTTACACATCCTAGTAGAATATCCCCTACAGAAGTCATAGAATCATAGAAAATTAGGGTTGGAAGGGACCTGAAGAGGTCAACTAGTCCAACCCTCTGCTCAAAGTAGGACCAGAACCAACTAGATCATCCCAGCCAAGGTTTGTATGGCAGGTCTTAAAACCTTCCAAGGATGGAGATTCCACAACCTCTCTCAGTAACCTGTTCACTACTTTACTACCCTCCTCCTAAAAAAGTTTTTCCTAATATCTAACCTAAACTACCCTTGCTGCAACTTGAGACTATGGGTCCTTGTTCTGTCATCTGCTACCACTGAGATCAGTCTAGCTCCATCCTCTTTGGAATCATCCTTCAGGTAGTTGAAAGCTGCTATCAAATCCCCACTCAGTCTTCTCTTCTGCAGACTAAATAAACCCAGTTCCCTCACCCTCTCCTCAGAAGTCATGTGCCCCAGACCCATAACCATTTTCATTGTCCTCCGCTGGACTTTCCAATTTGTCTACATCCTTTCCGTAGGAGGGTTTCAGGGGGAGGAGGGTGCAAAACTGGACACAGTTCTCCAGATTGGCCTCACCAGTGCCAAGTAGAGGGAAATAATCGCTTCCATCAATCTGCTGGCAACATGCCTACTACTGATAATTTTTATATGGCTCTACATCCAGCATGGCAAAAGGAATTTTGAAGTTCATGATATTCCTGCTCATTAGCCCAAAGACTTTCAAACCATTACAGAATAAAACAAAATATAAACTTAGAAGAGCATCCACAACCTGCAATTTATTAAATGCTCTTAAAAGACATTTAAGCACACCTCTTAAATAGTCTTTTAACTAGGTAATATAATCCATAAAACAATATTGAAAAACTTATTTAAAACCCATGCTGCTTTTATTACTGTTGTTCCCATCCATTTCCCTATACTTTTCCTCATAAGACAACTGTGATTCATTACCTTGATAGACTTACCATTTCTTCTTTTTTTTTTTTTTAATCATGAAAACCTAATACATACTAATACAATATTTAAGATATTTAAATCATAATAAAATATAACATACCCCTGAGGAGACAGTTTATCCAACCACCCTGCTTTTATCTTCTTCACCGATGGTCCGTAAAAACAAGCATAGGGTGTTATTGGTTCATGTGAAGCAAAAAGTTGGTCATCATCAAATGGCCGAAAATAAGTTTGTTCTTTCACAGAGTGGGTTTGATTTCCACTTTGTTTTTTGGCTTTACAACTGTTTTTTCTTAAATAGTGGGAACATTCATCCAGAGTTGAATATTCAGGTTCTCTGACAAGCTCTCCTGATTCAACACACTTGTTTTCTTGAGATTTTAATTCAGTTTTCACATGGTCCTCAAACACCTTCCCCATTGGATTATTAAAGACACTAGAAGAAACGAAAGCATTTGTTCTTGGTTTACTAGATACAAAAACGCAACAAATGACTAATTATGAATTAGATTCATGTTTTATCTTTGCTGTAATGCAAGTGCCCACAAACTGAATCTAATCCAAATTTATTTTACTCATGACAGCAAATGTCACTGTTAAGTCACTGGAGTTTGGCAACGAAGCCCACTTCGTAATTGCTGCCCACTTTGGAAGTCTGAATTTTGCAGATTTTAAAGCAAAATTTGTCATAAATGATCAACTAAATCCATACTCTTTACAAATACTTAGGGGTTTGCCTCCCTTTCAAAGGTAGGCAAAATCCTCGGGACTATCAGGTAGAAGCTCCTATATTTGAAGACTGGGGCTGCCTTTCTAGATACGAGATACTACCTTACCTCAGATGTAAAATTTAAAAAAAAGATTTTGTTACGGTGCATAAATCAGGTAGTAGAGTAGGAAGAGAATAAGCAGAAAATGGAAACCTGGAAGATATCCAAACTAAAGATGTTAATTTCTCTGCTCTAGGTGTTAGTAGGTACCTAAACAGCACTACAAACATCATCAGCACAAATCAGTGACAGGGGAAAGATGTATCCAGAGAGCTCAATTTCAATTTGATTTTGGAGTGGAATCTGGGCTCTGGTAGTCCCAGGCGCGACCAGGAAACAGTTACTTCAATGAAGAAGTTGACGATTGGTATAAGGAACATATTATCCTCGTAAATTTAAACTCATATATAATAAATACCATGATTTATTACGAGAATATTCTTCATTCATTTTTTCCTCTTTCTTTTTTCCTTCCACAGCCCAGAGTTCATCACCACAGATTTCCTAGGAAAAAAGAAAAATACTATGAAAATTGAACATCTTCTCTGGAATGCTAGATGATATCAAAGTTATTAGATACATAAAATTAGGAATTAGGCTCCAGACTAAAATTCTTCTTTATTGCATTTGGCAATTTGATTTAATCTCTCAAATGCTTCTAAAGCCAGATAATTATTTTAAAGTATATGTAAAAGGTATCACTAATTTCAAATTATTCAATCTTTTCTCCAATAAAAAGTTCTCTATGATTAATGCCCACAAATCAAATGTATATGCATTATACATTAGATGCATGTATGATATAATATCTTCTTGACACAAGCTGTTTTCTAAATAAGGGTATTAATATTCTGCCATAGCTGCACAGTAAAGAAAAAAAAGACAGTGGAAAGATTTCTGCAGTTATACTAATATTCAATGTTACATGTACCTAGTACTTTCCTTCCAAGTTTCCCTCATTACCACATTTACTCTAATAAACAAGATTTCCTCCCCTTAATCAGCATGGGGAAAGCCCCTCATCTTATATTTGCACATGAAGTGGAGGGAGCAGGAAGCTGCTGAGGTTCTGATTCTGGCCCTGAGTGCAGGTCGGAACCAGAGTCAGACCCACAGCAGCCTCCAACCCCCATCCCTCTTTCCCTCTGCAGCTTGTGCCCCCCACCCACTCCCTCTTCCCTCCCGCTTACTGTCAGGCACAGCTCGGCTCAGGCTCAGGCTGGGTTCTCCCCCAGGCACAGAGCAAGGAGATCCTGCTTCTTCCCAGCCAATCAGGGATTAAAGGGGTGAGCAGGTGTTTCCACCACCGCTGCTTTCTACCCAACCCATAGCCCATGCCTCTGTTTCCCTGTATGGCCTAAGCCTGTACTTGCCTGCACACTACTAAATTATGTGACAGTACCCAGCCAGGGGTGACCAGGTATGTATGTGGGGCCCTGCTTCGTCATTCTGGGGGCTGTTTCTCAGTAGCATCTCAAGCAGTCGCCACTAGGGAGAGTGGAGACAGTGGGGAGAAGTTCAGAAAGCACAGGATCTGAGAACGCGGGTGAAATGCAACACTCTTACCTACCCATGCCAGGAACCCCACTGAGCCACTGGTATGCATGTCTGCATGCCCTGGCTGTTGTGCTTAAAAGTTAAGTACAAACAGTCAAAAACCCTGAGGCTGAATTGATTCAATTTTTGCAGGGTTATTTGTTGTCGCTGTTGTTTTTTACCTGCACAGATTGAACCAATAAGCAAGTGAACTAACATTCACTTTTCAAACAGGAAAGGCTTAGGAGTGAGGGGCAAAGGCAGGGCATATCACTGCTTCCCCCCTACCCCCCCCCATCATTTACCCCTTTCCCCTCTCCTCCCCCTAGCCCCAACAGGTGTCCTCTTTTTGATACTGGAAATATGGTAATCCTAGCAAAGCCAAGCCCCAGTACAGGGTTCTCCCTCTTCCTACGATCAGGTCACAAAAATCAC